ATGTTAACGGAACAAACATTATTGAAAAATGATTTACACCCTTTTTACCCTTTTAAATGATAATAATATTCAAATACTAAAACCAGCTGAAATGAAGTTTAAATTAAAAGAAATCGCACATTAGTTTTCTATCTTGATTTTCCTGTCGATTAGGAAACGTAATACCTCCTTTACAATTATTCGCATGCGTCTGACGAACAATAGCTCGTCAATCAGCGTTACTGCCTCGTTCGATCAGCTCGAGTTGGTCGCGCAACCTCTCGAACGTGTTGAAAGTTCTCCAGCCCGAATAAAAGGTTCGTAAATCCGATGAACGGAGTATTTTGTTTCTGACCAAAAAAAAAAGAGTATTAATGTAAACACGGTTGTGTATGGTCGTTAGTCGTGAATTCGTACAAAAGATTTCAATCGTCCATGTCAAAACCCTCGATCATGAAGAATAGAATAGAATAAGGAATATGAACGCCATATTAAGAAAATTTTCCAGAAAGCGACAGTTACCTAGAAATATAGATATACACGACGTACGTATACATACATACATTCGAATTGAAAGAAAGTTTGTAATTCTTATTCATGCAAAAGGCTTCGCAATAAGTTTTGATAAATTATTATAAAATAATACTAAAATAAATATATTTTTATTTCAAAACAGATTAAATAAAATGAAATCATAATCAACCACAACTTCCGTATTGAATTACTGCTGTCTTCTTCGACAAGCTTTCTTTCAATTCAAAGGAGCAATTCATGTCAGTTGCACAATCATTCGAGTATACACTAATCAACATCTGTTCTGCATAAACATGAATAATAAATGACGTAGGTAGACGTCACAGTGTCACAACATGACGCAAAAACTTTAGCTAGAGAGAGAGTGTGAATGAGAGAACAGCTGAGGGGGTGATAAACAGAAGGGATTGGAAAGGAAGAGCGTGCTCGATTCTGCGTCGCCTTTAATGACCGGTCATTAATAACGGCGCGGCGGAACGTGTCGGAAATTTATGAGCGCGCCTGTTCAACTGCAGTTGCAACGAAATTACGAATCGACTGCGCGAGTCCTCCTACCCCCTTTAACAGTCCCTAACCACGCTGCGCAGAGAACTTGCCGGCAAGCTGACCTTGACCCCCGAGCGTATCCTGTCATCGTTGGCATTTTCCTCTGATAAAGAACTGAGAATCAAAGTGACCTAGAGGATAGATTCCAGGTTGATTCTAGTAACAGGTTATTGTAAAATCAATTCTTCCGTCTCAGTAAACAGCTTCGTTGTATGAAATTGGGAATTCTTTTATGAAAGTTTCAGCTTGAATGATTTTAAAACTGAAACGGACTTAGAAATAAGAACAAATATTAAGTATAACATGCAATTTTTAATTAAGAAATTGTAAAAATATTTGCTTTTTCTTTATAAATGAAT